CCAATCACACACACACACACAAGAAAAACTGTTGTTAATGTGCGACCCTGCACAGATGGAGTCAAGTCAGGAGCAGATAACTCTGAAAGCATTTTAGACCCAATTTCATCCTAATCCCAATTGGGAAAAAAGAGATCAGAGTTCAGAATATCTGTTCAAAAAGCTAATAACCCCAAAATTCAATTCAATTTAAATTTCAAAAACTGACTCATATTCAAAACCAGAAGTTTTGAACCTTTACCTCCCATTCAGACTGTCAGCCAATTTGGGGATCCTCAGTATAAAAACAACAACAAAAAATTACTGTAGCCACAAATCCCTCATTAAAACATTTAAAGAAGTGTTGTGATGACCCTCTGTGAGTACAAGCACAATAGTGGCCATCAGTTTCCTGTTTTCTCATAATGACTGACTTACTCACAAAAGAGTCAGAGGCCATTCTGATGGGAAATGAGCAGTAGTAATGGGAAAGTTACTACTATCACACAGCTTTCAGAGACAAAAACATATGTGCTTTGGATTGAAGGTTAAAAAAAACCCCCATGTGTGTTAAATCCACAATGCAAGTATTATATTCTTTCAACAACAAAAAAAGTCTGACATCAAAAGAGAACCTTTTTAACTCACACAAAGATCTTTTATATAGTTCTCACCATCTATACTCTAGTGCTTTAAAGAACCCAGAAACAAACATATATTTAAGAACCATATAGTCAACTCAAGCCAGAATAGGTTTGAAATTTAGTCTAAATCACTCAGTAAAGACTAGCTAGTTTGGTTCCAAAATTGCTTTGAGGTTACATTTCAGAAATGGGTAAACTTTCCAGAAAATGGAGTAAATTGATAAACTAAAAATATTTGTTTGATTATTTTTTCTTATAAAAAAAATTACTTACACACACACACACACACACACACACACATACATATATTACTATGATGACATATGATCTATTAGAATTTACATAACATGTAATAGATATGGAAAAAATATGGAATTGGATTGGATGTCAAATCGGAGGCCGAAGCGCACTTTACAGAAAAATGGTTGTTGATGGAAAGAAGGTTCTTTGCTGACACGACTACAAAGAACCACAGTAGAACCATTATTGTTAATAGTGCAGAGAGACTGATGGTAATTATGCTAATAGAATTGCTTGAGGGGATCAAACTTATGGCATCTGTTTCGTAAACATGATTTTATGTGACACTTACTGTGACACAGAGCTAAAAAATTTGTTTGGAAAGGTAAATGAATCAACTGTAACTGCTGTGCTGTTTTGCTGAATAGGAATGCAAAACCCCCCAAAACTGAACATTATAGGCTCTCCTAAATGGTCCTATTCAGCTTCTATGAAAACATCAAACAGGGTCTGTTTTAAGTAAAAGACACAGTACAATTATTAACAGATGAAAAAAGTATTAATACTTAGAACCAACGTGAGGAATCTAAAATTAAAGTATGTATTTACAACACCCAAGGAGCAATTAAGTACAATAAATATCTATAAGATTGAAGATTCAAAGTTAGTTAAGTACTAAGTACAAGGGGGACATCACTTTCTTAAAAAAAAAAAAAAATCAAATACACATCACACTATACATACAATACATACATCTCAAAACCACCAAACACACCAGTCACGAAGATTCTCGTGACTTCATTCAAGCCCAATTTATTTCAACTACAGGCCGTGATCGTGAGGTCCCACCACACCCTTCACAGCCTATTTTAAGATTCTCAGAACTAAAAATAACTCTATTAATTCAGTTTCTTTAGTAGAGGGAGCATCTGGAAGGCTGAACGTGGGCACCCGGGTTCGATAAGATCACTCACGGATGCGTCACCCTCCCTCTTGATTGGATAATGAATCATACATTGAGAGTGAAGCGTGCGGGAAAGCCCCGCAGTGAAACACAGTGGAGGTTCTATTCAGCGTGAGATTGAACCCCGGAGATAGACGTCTAGGGGCCGAGGACACCACACACACACACACAGAGTGTAGGGGGTCATCATCCACCACCCACTCGCAGGGTGAGGTTTCACACACACACACACACACACACACACACACTCTCACAACCACCCCAGAGTCCTCATCTGGCTCTGCATCAGAGGAAAAAATAAAGAGCCGAGAGATGAATAGAAAGAAAAAGATGAGAGAATGACATGACCCCACAGGAATATACACATCATGTCTGCTGTACGACAGGCCATGAGAAAACGGAGGGGAAAGTGGAAAGAAAAAAAATTTAGATAAAGAATTTAAGATGATATTGAAGAGCGGGGCAAGATGGAAATGTCACAATTGCTGCTAACTCTAAGGATTTAATTCACAGATAAAACCATGAATTCCATTCCAGTGGTTCGTAAGCTAGTTTTAAACACCTATGTCCTAAATTTGGATAATTTATAAAGGATGAAAAATTTGTAAACTAAAATTTCACTATCATGTATTTGTTATCCATGATATGGAAATGAGTGTTTACGATTGTCATTTTGCATTATTGACACACTATTTTCTTAATTAATGCTGTTCAGTTGCTTTGACACAATCTGTATTGTTAAAAGCGCTATATAAATAAAGGTGACTTGACTTGACTTGACTTATACACTCTCAGAAAAAAAAGTTACAAAAGCTGCCGGGGCCGCTACAAAAAGTACAAAATTGGAGCATTTAGGTACTAATATACACCCAACAGGGATAAATAAGGTACAAAAGCAGTGACAGCTTTTTCAGTGACATTTCTATTATCATGTTGAAAACAGTTGTGCTACTTAATAACAATTTTTGGAAACGATAATACATTTTTGAGGAATAGAAACGTTTAAAACAACAGCGTTGATTTGAAATAGGAAACTTGCGTACATTGTTTTTAGCTAAGTAGCCAGGACTACTGATAAACAGTATATACTATATGTCCAAAAGGTCTGTAAGTTTATTTTAATATTTTGCATCATTAGATTTTTACATTGTTGATGTATCTTAAATGGTTTACATTTTGTCTTTTTGGAAAAAAAAACAAAAAACCCCAAAAATAATAATATGCAATTTAATGGCAGCTTTACATTTGGGACAAATTGCCCTGCTGTATCTTTCTTTTTTTGGGGGGGGGGGGCAATAATGGTAGAAATGTTCAATAGGTTAAGCCTTTAATAGATTTAGCCTAAGAGTTTCATATACATGCCCATGCAGAAAAAAATAAATAAATAAAAATAAACCCACTCTGTGTGACAACTTTCCCTAGTTTCCCCTATATATAATTTTTTTGTTTGTTTAAAGAAAAAACATGCAAACTCCTAATCAGGGAGATTTGAAAGAAAGAAAGAATAACATAAAAGAGGTAAGTGGGTGAAAAAAGTGGATGCAAGTCTTTGGATGTTGTGGAAAAGTCAAAAAGTAAGACAATCAAGTACAAGTCAGGAGAGATACATTTAAGAAATAAGAATTAAATGTTGACAAAAAAACAGTGTGGGCAAAAGAGACACAAAGACAGGCAGATACAGACCCCCAACAATGCCTGGCCTTTTCCTCTGGTCTTCTTCTCACACAACACTCAGCCTTTTACTCATCTGTCTGGGTCTGCTCTTACCATGTCCCAGGAAGTGACATAATACCCCAGCCATCCATCCTGCTAGACGCTGTCTGCAGCCGCAGCGCTGGCTTCTCATTGGCCTGTGAGGAGCCCACAGTGGTTCAACCCAGACCTCCATGAGCCTGGGGTTGCTGAGTTCAGTCGGTCTTGTGGAAGTAGATGCTAAACAACAGCAAACAACAACATCATAAAGGTCCAGCCTTAGGACACAAAATGTCAAACACACTCCTCTGGAAGTTTGTGAAGGGCCTCAAGAAAGAATGAAGGTGCACTTTCAAATTATGCAACTTACCTATAATGTTCCAGGGGGAAAAATACTGTTAAAAGAAATTAAATACTTTTGACAAGTAACTAGTTTGCAGTGGTATCTTTATTTGCTAAAAGCTGTTAATTTATAAACACTGCCCTGTGGTTCAAGCGGTTAGCCACTTGAGAATAAAAAATAAATTAAAAAAAACTAGTAGAAAAGCCCTACAGGGTTTTCCAACATTTAAGGAAATTACAAGGTAAAATGAGAAGTTTGAAGTTTTAACTGACTCAGCTGTTTTTAATTCAGTTTTAAGTGGTCATCAACACTTCCTCTGTTGGATGGTAAATCTTAAATCTGGAAAACATTTGCTAGCGTTATTACTGAAGTAAAGTGATCTTCGCAGCTTCACACATAATCAGTCAATTTAATACAGGAATCAGATGACACGTGATGCTGTCTAATGGATTGCCCAATTCGAGTGATTTTGTGTCAGTTGTGTTCTGTGAAGTCACTGAGCACATAAAATGTGTGCATGGCGTCCTCTACTGATCAGACTTGATATGGCAGTCTCAGAAAGTCTTTATTCATCCTAAATGAGTGTTTCTCAAACTTTTTGAATGAATCCCCCCCCCCCTTGTCCAACACAATATAACATATTTCTTGTATTTCTACTGATTGATTAAACTACAGGCTATTAAATTAACCACAATATAAGTGTATCTTCTCCAATAAAACAATAGTTATTAAGTTGTAAAAAGATTAGATTTTTCTTGATTTGATGTGTTTTAGGATTGCTTTAATATATCAATAATTATTTTAAATGCTTTAAAATACTTCACATACTTAAAATAAGTCATCCTGTCCTAGATATTCTTACAGGTTTCCAAGCTTGTGTGTTCTAAATGTACATTACATAATACAATAGTTCTTCTATTACAAGTAATACAAGATTGCTTATAAATGTTTGCTTATAATTTGAGTTCTTTTTAACAGTCTTAAACTGTTCTAGACCACAAAGCCTCCAAATACTTAGTCTTATATTTCATAATTTAAAACCTAACAGCTTTCTTTTTGTGAAACATTTTGCTTTTTCTCGGTGTCTTTAAAATAAACACCACTTAACTTGATATTTTGTTATTTTAATGTGTTCACAGATAAACATTTATACGTTTGATATAATTCTCCAGTAGTTTTTGGGCCAGAGCATCACTGTTCATTCACATTAGACCCCAAAAAACACTTGAATTATCTTCAGAGAGTGGAGCACAAGATGTTTATATTAGTAAAAAGCTGGTTTTGTGCACCATCTAGTGACAAGAGAAGATTCTACAAATGCTACAGTATCATTCGCAAACAGAGCAAAAAGTGTATATTCATTTCAGAATGCTCAAACCAACAATTAAAGAGTCATACCTTAAATTCATAATCAGTTATTCACGATTAATTGTGTTTGTTGTAACACTGAAAATCATTCCATTTGGAACATAGTTACACTGCAATGTCATAAAGTTGGAATACACATAAACAAATGCATACTTTCACACACCCTCCCCCGCCCAATTCATTCCTTAACTCTTACTTTTTAGCAGGTGACAAAGGCGGCCACACCAGCCCATCCTGAGGTGTGACGGCCATTCCACCCACTGAGTTGAGAGTGGATACATCACCATCAGCTGTTAGACTTGTTTTACTCGTACAGTCAGCTGAGCACAGATGCATGATACTGGTATGTGTCCAGAGAATGTTGTGCTTAGGCTTTAGTACTGACAATAAACATGAACCAACTCTATAGGCAGCTTTCATGGCAAAACACTCAACACCTTCAATCGGAATCTGAAGCATCACATTACTTATCAAAAATTACAGATGATTCACAGATAGCTCACGGCTTGTTTATTTCCTGAGAAAAAAAAAGGTAGTGTCTCAATTCGTATCTGCTCCTGAGGTAGTTCCTTAGAATACACAAAGTGATACTGATCTTCAGATTTCTGGGAAGGAGTTAGAAAGCTCCCTCAGTCTGTGAGTGGTCTCGGTGGATGAGAGGTTGTTTAACTCTCGCACATATGCGAGTAGGTTACCCACAATAAGCCGAAGACAGTCCCGAAGTTCCCTCAAGTCTCTGTCCGAGCGAGAACCGCCTTCTGCAATAGCCATTCTCAAGCATATGTTCTTCAAGTCAACACTGTGCTGAAAGAGAGGACACAAATGTGAATAATTAAAAAAGAGCTTATAAATATAAATCGCAAGCAAACAAGGGCAGGTAAGTTTAGCATCCACATGCAGAACCGGTCAGATGTTGACTGAATATTTATAATTTTAATATGTGACCCTGGACCACAAAACCAGTCATAAGCAGCATGGGTATGTTTGTAGCAATAGCTAATTCATTGCATGGGTCAAAATGATGGATTTTTCTTTTATGCCAAAAATCATTAGGATATTAAGTAAAAATCATGTAAATATACCAAAACGTAATTTTCGATTGGTAATATGCATTGCTAAGAACTTCATTTGGACAACTTTAAAAGGGGATTTTCTCGATATTTTGATTTTTTCTTATTTATTCAGCTTTCAGATGATGTATAAATCTCAATTTTAAAAAGATTTGACCCTTACGACTGGTTTGGTTATGGTCCAGGGTCACATTTATTAGTGCAACGTAATTTTCGATTGGTAATATGCATTGCTAAGAACTTCATTTGGACAACTTTAAAAGGGGATTTTCTCGATATTTTGATTTTTTCTTATTTATTCAGCTTTCAGATGATGTATAAATCTCAATTTTAAAAAGATTTGACCCTTACGACTGGTTTGGTGGTCCAGGGTCACATTTATTAGTGTTATTTTGTGTGTGTATATGGATATGTGGCTATAGAGATGGCTGAATTAAACTGGTTAGTAAGCAGACAGCACACATGGAAACTCTTGTTTGCAAAGCATCCCATGATGCACATGCAGAGCAGGAATCTAGACAAAAGACTGGCTACTTTGAAGCTAAAATAGAAAATATTTTTCATTTGACATGATCTGATTCCCATACTCCCATCTGAGTTGTTCGATAGTTTAAATAGCTTTTACAATTAGACTAAAATGCTTTTTTATCAAATACAAACCCAACATGGTAGGCTATGTCGTGACAGTTTGAGTCGTTACAGCACAAACAGTCTAGACTCTTATCAAAAGCATCTTACCTTATGCTTGAGGAAACTCCTTCCGTAACCGACGTCTTTTATAAAATCTTCCTCTATAGATATGAGTTGCGTGAGTATCTCGAGCAGACGCGCGAGGCAGCTCTCTCTCGCTCTCTCCGCGATAGTCTTCAGTCTGCGGGGCACCTTCATCAAATCACCTGGACACTGACCCTCGCCATCTCTATTGCTGGTCGTCGCGTGAGCTCGCAGGTCATTTAGGATGTTTAAGGCATCGATTTGATGTGTTAAAGAGCAGAGCCCCATGTCTGTCACCTGATCGGCTGTCTTGTGCAGAGTCACTGTTGAGAGAGAGATAGGCCTACGAGGCTCTGGTCGAAACAGCGTGACAAATGACCGGCTTTGAATGTTTTTGCTGTGGCATACTGTTTCTCCAACGACTTCCTCATTGTTTGTGTTTGGAGTGGATGAGCGCTTGCTTACACATGCAAATGTGACCTGATAGTCCTGCCCTCTATCTAGATGCTCAGAAAAAGCGGTTAACTGAAGGTACAGGGATGTTGTAAAACGTTTTGCTCTGAATAAACTCAAAAACCAGAAACAGTTAGCATTTTAAACCCTTAATTAATCATTTACCCTATCCCAGTCAAACCAGGCTGGTTTAAGAGCAGCTTTTCTTCCCAACAGCACATTTGGTGAATGTATTAATGATGCCATGGCTCTTGATACTGCTATTATTTTTTATTTTTTTTTGCTATTCTGCAAAAACAAAATAACAGAACAATGACAAAAAGAAAGAACAAAAACAGATGACCGCATGCAACCAATGTCACGCATTGGTTGCATGATTCCCGAGAAGAGGTCACAGCTGACACTGTCTTAACAGGCAGTGCTGGCTTTTCGCAACACAAATACTCAAATCTGAGATTTTAACAGAAATGAAAGTAGCCAACAGCATTTCTTTGATGGAAAGTGTCAAAAGCTCTCACACATACACGTTGGGTTTCCATGTTTTATGGGGACTTTCTATAGGCGTAATGTTTTTTATACTGTACAAACTTCTATCACACTACACCAACCCTACTCCTTACAGGAAACTTTGTGCATTTTTAGATTTTCCAAAAACTTTCAACTTTAAAACTTTAAGACCAAAAAAATTAACATGTTTGGATTTTGGATATTGCCATCTTTGTGGGGACATTTTGTCCCCATAATGTAGGGTTTAGCAGGACCACACACACACTTACTCTTTATTACTACTATCCACATTTCAGAAGTCATCAAAAAGTTAAGTTTTTCTGAAAAAATTCAGGCATTTATGCATAAGCCCACAGATCAAGTGTCATAAGAAGTAAATACAAAACATTTGACTGTTGGTTGTTAGTTTATATACTTATATAACACCCCATTCCAGTTATTAATAATTCTAATATTTTATAAGCTTGTTTCCTCATGGGGACCAAAAAATGTAACATGTTTGGATTTTGCCATCTTTGTGGGGACATTTTGTCCCCATAATGTAGGGTTTAGCAGGACCACACACACACTTACTCTTTATTACTACTATCCACATTTCAGAAGTCATCAAAAAGTTAAGTTTTTCTGAAAAAATTCAGGCATTTATGCATAAGCCCACAGATCAAGTGTCATAAGAAGTAAATACAAAACATTTGACTGTTGGTTGTTAGTTTATATACTTATATAACACCCCATTCCAGTTATTAATAATTCTAATATTTTATAAGCTTGTTTCCTCATGGGGACCAAAAAATGTAACATGTTTGGATTTTGCCATCTTTGTGGGGACATTTTGTCCCCATAATATAGGGTTTAGCAGGACCACACACACACACTTACTCTTTATTACTACTATCCACATTTCAGAAGTCATCAAAAAGTTAAGTTTTTCTGAAAAAATTCAGGCATTTAAGTATAAGCCCACAGATCAAGTTACATAAGAAGTAAATACAAAACATTTGACTGTTGGTTGTTAGTTTATATACTTATCTAACAACCTATTCCAGTTATTAATAAGTGGATAATTTTTTTTCTCAGTTCTATTCATTACAAGGTGTTATCAGTTAATACATCTTTCATTAGATTCATATATAAAATGCCCATTTCTATAGACTACCTGTTTATTCCTTGCAGTTATTAATAATTCTAATATTTTATAAGCTTGTTTCCTCATGGGGACCAAAAAATGTAACATGTTTGGATTTTGCCATCTTTGTGGGGACATTTTGTCCCCATAATATAGGGTTTAGCAGGACCACACACACACACTTACTCTTTATTACTACTATCCACATTTCAGAAGTCATCAAAAAGTTAAGTTTTTCTGAAAAAATTCAGGCATTTAAGTATAAGCCCACAGATCAAGTTACATAAGAAGTAAATACAAAACATTTGACTGTTGGTTGTTAGTTTATATACTTATCTAACAACCTATTCCAGTTATTAATAAGTGGATACTTTTTTTTCTCAGTTCTATTCATTACAAGGTGTTATCAGTTAATACATCTTTCATTAGATTCATATATAAAATGCCCATTTCTATAGACTACCTGTTTATTCCTTAAATGAAATGAAACAACTCCTCAGTTTCAATCATACACTGAATGCTTTAATTGATCTGAAATAAGATACAAAAAACGTTGTGATTTTAACAGACTAAATTTCTAGTTCTACTCGACCTCCGTTCACATACGGCTTTTTTGAGGAGGGATTTGAAAGCAAGTCAGAAACACTCTCAATAATATTTAGCATCTGTTCCAAAGCCCACCACTTAGTCTGTGCTCTAATAACTCAATCTTGTCAGTCCTATACTTCAGTTTACAGTAGCAACATTTATTACAAGATCAGGTATCACTCATAACGTAATTCAAGCCTCAGATCAGGTATCACTCATAACAGCATCAGAGTACTACAGTAGCACTGATCTTGGCTCAGAGTCCTACCCTGTCTGTAGTGGTTTTATCTACAATCCCAGATCAGCAAGCGTTCTCTGAAACGTCACCCATACATTACATGGATTATTTTTCTTTCAGCAGTATCATCTCATAAAAATAAAAACTTTGCTGTGGGAATCACTGCTTTTTGTGAAATTAATAAATTCAGTCTCTCAGAAATAACTTGTGAAAATAAAAATACATTAAACTCACTATTCTTTCAAACCAAGTTCTGGTAAAAAGTAAACCTTGTACAATAATATTTTAGTTTAATGAATTAGGTCTTTGACCTAAATTACAAACATCACACCTGCTACACTCGTTTCATGCAGATCTTCCAAACCCACGTCACTGCATCTGAAGCTCTTTTAGACAAACACTATCTGTGATCTACACATGATTTGAGGGTCAGCAAACCTGCACAATATATGAGAATCACAACCACACTGGACTGTCCAAGCGCACACCAAACAAAGCTGCACTGATCGGTTCCGTTAAGGCTTGCACGATTAATTTCCTGTTTAGCCATGAAAAGGTACCAAGTTGCACATTGAAAACAATGGGTGACAAAAAGAGAAATTTAAATGAAGTGTAAAACCATAAAGGTACTGCGAATTCAGGGGGATTAAGAGTCAAGAAGAAACTTCTAGAGTTTATTTGCAAACCATTAGTGTCATTATTTCACTCTTTTTTTTACTTATTGATAGAACTCATTTTCTTCTTGGTCATTCAGCTACTCTGACACTCTCACTCTTCATCCCCTGTATTTCCTAAGTTACACATGGCTAGAGAGATTGGGCAACTGAATCATGGTCCATGGGCCTTCAATTTGTTGACAAAACTGCTCACTAACTAAAGAGATGCTCTAGGTGAATTGGAGTACATTGGTAGAAAACATTTATCGCTTATTCAGCATAGCCAGTAATACAATGGTGACGCAGTGGGTTAAGACACCATTGTGAAAAGGTCTCAAAAAATGGGAGTACAGAAGTCACAGAAAACATGCTTTTCCTTGCTCAGTCTATATCTATTACCATCAAGTTGGTCACATTGAACAGTTTTCGCCAAAGTCACTCCAGCTGCGACAGACCACAGATCTACAACAGTTCATTTGTTGGGTAGGGGCTGTGTGGTGACCATCATTGCTGATCGGCTGGGCTGTTTGTCTTCCTCAAACGCAGCACGCTCTGCCGACCCGTGACGTGAAATTCTGATCGCAGAAAATCAGTCTGAGTGACTCTGTGTGGTTTTGGGTGAAGATCCAAAGAGGAACGTTGTGAAGAAACAACTACTGAAATTGTAGCTGCAGTGAAGGAAGTGTTACAAAGCACTTCTGGAGATGATAAATATTAATGGAGAACTATGACAAGAAGTGGGCTTGTTTGGGGGAAAGGGCGGGTCTTATCGTATTAAAGGGCGGGGCTAAACAGGAGGGACAAGTCACTGATCGGGTGATTAGTACCAGCAGTTGGTCTCTCTGGTTCATCTCATCTTTCTCCGCCGGAGAAGACGAGCGTTTCGTCATCGATCCGCAGCTGACGAGTGTTTCTCCTCTATTTCTCATTTAGTTGGTTCATAAAAATGATCATAATGTTTATAGACTAGCGTATTAAGTTAAATCTACAGTTATATCCCTATATACCTCAAAATGCTGAGATTTTAATATTTTTTTAATTACTTTTTTTTTTTGTAAAAAAAAAAAGGGTAACTGCACACAGGGCAGCTTTGAGCCTGAGGCTGGACTGCAGGGTGAGCGATACAGTGGCCACACGGTGTTGACACACTAACAATGTTTAGTTCTCCTTCTTGGCCTCTGTGTTGCCGTAGCTGGATCCGGTCTTCTTCACTTCGGTTACACCAATGAGCCGACGGACTGCTACAGAAGCTGCAGAGAGAGAAACAGTGACAAGGAAGTCACATCAGTTGTGGGATAATGATATACACAACTCATTAACTGATGCCATGACATATAAACATTTGTGCAGGAATTTATCAAATCTGAGAATTTAGAGTTTTAATCTTATGCTCTTCTGAATAGGGTATATTCACCTCTTGCACTTAACAAATGCAGTTTACTTTCATGTTTTGGCACACATTAAATAGTAAAGCTATTTACTAGTTAAAGGTATTTCTTTTTGTGCCATACTCAAACATGGCAAAACCATCCAATCAATGAATGGTTAGGAGAGAAGGTAAATAAAAAAATAAACATAATAATCGTACAATCATAAAAACAACCAAGGACACACAGATGAATCTCAATTACTGCTAGACAAAAGCAAACAATATTTATAATTTAGAGGACAATTTAGATAATTTTTTTTTTTTTTTATGCATTACTTCAAACTAGTGATGCACGTTCATTTTGGCAACAATAACAACAAAAATCATGGTTTCAGCCAGCAGTTTTCAGAGGGCTAAAACTATTGCCCAAAAACATCACTTAGATCTTCTCCAATGGCACGTTTTGTTTAATCAATACAACATGGATAACATGGATAAGTGGATGTACTTTACCATGAACAAAACTTATGCTAAAGCAATACGAAAAAAATTTGTTTGCATGAAATACTGAATATATAATACAACTGGTTTACTTTATCACCTGAGAATACAACACTCTGAACAGCAGACAGAGTTCAATTACCCAAACTCAATTTTCTGTTTTTTTTCGTTTTCAGCTCATTTAGAAAAAAAGATTGTAAACTTTAAATGTGTATTTGTGCTAAAAGCTAATTTTGTAATGTTAAATGTACACAACCACACAGATCTCTATGCTAACATATATGGATAAATATCCCTTGTAATCTACATGAATAAGCTACAAAAACTTGAGAAAAACACTATGAGAGCACATGAATAAAACAACGACTGACCAACAATGAGGAAGATCATAAAGCCAATGATGAGAAGGGGAGAACCACTGACAAACACATCCCAGGCAAAGTTAATAAGCGGAGAAAGCAGGAGAGTAGCCCAAAACAGGAAGTTCAGAAGTGTCCAAACGCGACGTTTGGTTTTGATGGTGGGGCCGGGGAAACGGCCTTCTTTCTCATAGTGTTCTTGTAACGCATCCTTGAAAGACAGAGACGTGGGATGAATTGCAGCACACATCAATGCAATGAATCAGATGCAAAATAAAGCAATAACAATTCAACTCAAAAAACACAGTTCAAATAAAGCCTGAGCTTCATACCTTCTCTTGGTAGAGCTTGTGTAACCAGTGAGCACACTCCTTCTCATCATCAGGAATCTCCTCCACAGGAAAGCGCCTGTGGACAGAACAGTGAGAGGTCAGGGCAGCACAAGACACACTCCAATAGAGGGCGCTGTAACAGCATGCAGCAGAAGAGGTGCTAAACTAGGTACAGTTACAATCTTAATCCAAATATTTAAGGAGATCTCAGGTCAGCAATAAGACACAAAACACTCAAAAGCTTGTGAATGAGAACTTGGACACTCACAAGTTCACAATTAAAATCTCATATCAGATTTTGGAAGTACAGCAGCTAATGAAAATATAGTGAACTTCAGCTCTGTGACTCACCTGATGCTCAGGTCTGCTTTGTATTTCTTCCCGTTAACGATGCCCAGCAGGGTCGGGTTCTGCTTGTCTTTGAAGTTCAGCGTGACATCGTACACAGCTTTCACTGTTGAAACAGAACAAATACATTTTGATGTTATGGAATGAAATGTTTGAATGTTGCAACAAATACAACGTACAGAACTTAAATGGATAGTTCACCCAAAAATGAAACTTCTGTCTTCGTTTACTCATACTGATGTCATTCATCCTCGTGCTTTTGTTTATGCAATGGAAGTCAATTGCTCAAGCTACCAAGATTCTTCAGAATATCTGTATTTACGTTCCAAAGAAGAAAGTCATACGGGTTTAACTTCACAAGGGTGAGTAAATGATGACAGAACTTTCATTTTTGGGTGAACTATCCTTTTTTTAAATATAATACATAATAAAGTGAATGAGTCGCATGGACCACTTTTGCAGAGCTTTTGCATCCTTTCTGAAGCTTTAATACTTCAGTCCCTATTCACAATAATTGAATGGATAAATGGGACCAAAATATTCTTGAAAAAATCTGATGTGTTCCAAAGAAGAAATTAAGTCAGCCAAACAAAGTTTGGAATGACATTATAGCAAGCAAATAATGACAATTTGTTTTTGGGACAACTCCTAAAGTAAATAATGTTTCTAATGTAATGAAAGATTCAGAGCACCAGATATAATTCATGTCAGGATAAGAGGGGAAGAAGCTCAATAGAGTATGAATTGAGCATAATTGGCATGAAAATCAGGATGATGGAAAGCAGATGAAACATTCATGATGGCCCATCTGCAGTCAAATCAAGTTCACGAGTCCATTTCAGTCACCTCATTAGAGGAAAGAACAATCCTGAAACAAGCAATCTGCAAGTGATGTCCTATAAAACTAATTACTGCTGAATTATAAAGAACACAATCACAATTCTAGACATGCATCACCAGTGTTGGGGAAAGTTACTTTTAAAAGTAATGCATTACAATATTGCGTTACTCCATAAAAAGTAACTAATTACGTTACTTAGTTACTTTTTAAATATGAGCAGGGCTTGATTGCTTTTAATATAAGTAGTTCTGTTTATAGCAAATGTAAATTCACGTCTGTACTTCAGCAATAAAAACAATGAAGCACAATTGTTAGTTTATCTAAAGTCATTTTTGCTTATTAGTATGGTTGAACTGGATCATCAAAGGTCAGCAGCAAAGACATTGGTTAATAAAATGGGATTAGATACATTTGTGTTATTTAACATTTAATTATTGCAGGTTTGAGCCATATTCTGAGTTTTAATTCATTTTGATGAATACTAAATCAGTTTTTTTTGCGAGTGGGATGAATTAATGCACATTCACATTTAGTCTAGAACTACAGTAACATCATGTTCACACAGCGCACACAACTCCTCTGTACTTCCGATTTCTCCCAATATGGGGACAGGAGACTTGTCAGTCAATAAATGGGAAAAAGTAACTGGCATTACTTTTTTGAAAAAGTAACTCGGATATTTTCTTGTAAATTAAAAAGTAATGCATTACTTTACTAGTTACTTGAAAAAAGTAATCTGATTACGTAACTCGCATTACTTGTAATGTGTTACCCCCTAACACTGTGCATCACACATAAAGAATTGTAATAAGCATCATATTGTGACATGCATAGTGATAATATCATATTGTTTCATACCTAAATAGAGAGACACACTCCAAAATAATATCGGACCACAATGGCTTGTTTTATTTACACAATTTAAAAGTTTGGGGTAAGTCAAATTATATTTTTATATTATTTTTCAGCATCTAATTGATCAAAAGTGATAGTAAAGATTTAGAATGGTACAAAGAATCTGTTTAAATAAGCTTGACAATAAAGTATCACAAAAACAGCAACATAAGTGTTTTTAAAACTGATAATATTAAGAAATGTTTCTTAAGAAACAAAGGATCATGTGACACTGAAGACTGGAGTAAAGATGCTGAAAATTCAGCATCGCCATCTCAAGAATAAATCGCACTTTAAATTTTTTTTATATTATATTAATATTGAAAATAACTATTTTAAATTGTAATATTTCACTACATTACTGTATTGTAATTTTGATGAAACAAATGCAGTCTTGGTAATCATAAGAGACTTATTTTAAAAAAAATCTATACCTAAAACAGTCTAAACTCACAGCCTATATTTAGACAGCAGGTGACAGACGGAAGAGTCTCTCGACCACTGAGGTGGTAAATGTGTTGGGATTTTCTTATGGCAACGTGTCAAAAAGTATTCTGGGAACATGCGAATTCTAGGAAGAACATTAGTTATCACCATAACCACTAGCAGCATCATGTTGTGGATAACTGCACTCTGTCTAGGGTCACTGATAAGTGGGCACTTGGACATTATTATTAGACACCAGGCTGGTGGAAATCCAAAAAAGCATCATGAATAGGGCCAGCTTATGGGTTTGGACCACTCACATTTTCTTGACTCCTGTCCATCACCCACCCAGGAAGCAACGTTTGCCTCTTTTAACAGGGTAACACACAGCAGCTCTGTGACGGTGATGGAGTGTGTGGAAACGTTTATCTGACCTGTTCCCTTGAGGCATTGCAGTGTAGTGGTGAATCCTTTGGTGCGGGGCAGCAGGTGGTACTTCAGTTTTGGAAGGCCCTTACTCTCAGCCACCTGCATGCTTATCTGATGTTTCTTTTCCGTAAATCTCGTTCCTTCACAGTACAGCAGGAACTGCCACACACACACACACACCAGAGGATTGTAACTCCCGGGTCAGTGTTAAACACAGTAATCCTATCACTTTGTAATCGCTGCCTCTTGTTGCCAACGGAAACTTCCAATCGGAGCACGTCATAAGTGACCTCACCGCTGGAGCTACATGCCTGACTAGTAACACTGACCCACATCCAAATAATATAATGATAGAATAAATAAACTCAAACTAAACAAGAATGACCAAAACACTTTACTACATTAACAGCAGGTGAAACTTATTTCACACCAGATGAAACAGGTTTACTTATTTATCTACAGCTTCAATACATTAAAATGATTAGCAAATAACAATAATAAAAAAATATGAATTAAGACATGACTTTGATTATCACATGCCTCAGTAAATATATGTTACTACAGATTATAGTGGTACGAGGTCACAAATTATTAATTCAGAATGTTTTTACAATCTTTAAAATAAATGTTTTTTTGTGAATTTGAGTATGAGGAAAAAAATACTTATATATATATATATATATATATATATATATAAATAAAAAATTTTCCCAGTCTTTGTGCCTTGGTTAAATGTGTCAAAGCACCTTTACTTAGCTTGGATTGCCGTTTGTGTGTATATGTTGCTCAAAAGTAAGAAAAGTAACACCAAGCTCCAAATGCAAATTGAGTTGGAGTAGTTTTATTAGGGACGGCAATATTACATACTTTCAAACTGTAAAAAAGGATAATCCGCCAAAAACTACAATAAAAAACATTTATCCCAACTGCACATAAAGGAAAAAGACTGAACTACTGGTTAACCAAAATCTGCCTATTACGAATTTAATAGTTCTGAACCATTACAGAACATTTGCATGGGTTTAGAGATTTACAAGGTGGATTTGAGGTTGTGGTTAGCCCTACATTTGACAGCAACAATTCATCAAATACTCATATCACCATGGTAAACAGAAAAAGCTTAAGTCATTCCTAAAGCTCTGCTTGATTATCAGGTCATTAGATCATCCTAATCACTCAGTGTACTCACCCACATGTATTCTGGGTAATCTCGGAGACGGTTCAGCCCACTGAAGACGGTTTCTCTGTCCTCCTCCCACTTCCGCTTGCAGAAAACAATTTCCAGGAAGTACCACGTCCAGCCGATCAGAGGAACTTTCAGCAGTTCGTGTTTAGCCAGAACCTTAGAACTCTGGATGAGAAAAATCAAAATAAAGAGAGGATAGAAAATGCAAAAAAGAGAGAGGATAGAGAAGAATTCAAATCATCCACTCAATCAAAACAAATAAATTCAACATCAGAACTGATCCAAGTTTATTAACTACAAAACAAAAATGGATGGTGACAAAGCAGTTTTTGTTACTGTTAACTATAACTTTTGAAAATCATTATTTTATTTAAATAAAATCTAAACAAAAAGTAGAAAGGTTACCTTGAAAACTAAGTGTAAAAATGTGTTATTTAATTGAATTTAAGTTATTTATTTGAAAAACAAATAAAGTACATTGAATTACTAAAATTATTAAACCTGAAATAAAAGCCAAATAGAAATATGATTTTTTTTTAAAGTACATAAATTTACTACAACTAAAATTAAAAATACAAAAAAATACAAATAAAGCCAATTCAAAATTTTAATAAATAGATATAAAAAATATAAATAATTAAAATAAATAACACTGCAAAAAGCATAATCTGGCCAATACAGGTGTCTATACAAGAGATGGCTGATATTTTATATAACAGAATTATGCTCTTTCATGAATGGAATTTCAGCCAAAATGTAATTATAAAACACTGATGCACTGCGATATCCAATACTAGTTTCACTTATGTGCACGCAAGTACTTTTTCAGTTTTATTTACTGACAAGTACTGATGGCAAACATCTCCATATATTTAAATAGCATAATTTCACCCAGTATCCATGTGCGACATGATTTTTGTTCTTCAGAAGAGTATCTTAGCCACTTTCTAATATCCTTCGTGTGCAGAATGCTTTTTGCATCAAGTGCACAATTTTCTCTTGAGGAAGCTACATCAAAGAAGCTAGTCACATTTATCAGCTTCCATTTTAGTTTGGATGCTTTTAATGTACTCAAGTTGAGAGTGATTGAGCGCACAAGGTTGAGACACACAACTGTCACGCCTCAAAGCTCAAAACACCATCCTTCACAACTTCACTACGGTGTCTTCACTGCTTGTCTTCCGTCTCTCACCCCCAGTACGCCGTATCTCTCACACATGGTCCAGCCACACAGGAAGTCGATCTCATAGTTATGGTTGAGGATGATGATGACGTGCTCTTTACCGAACTTATCCACCGTGGCCTGATCGGTGTACAGCGTGCACTCTGTGCCAGACCACCATTCTAACAGCATCACCAGCTCTGTTAAGAAAGCAGTAGAAAAGTGTCAAGCAGGTATTATGACGCCAGATGCATTAGGACGATCTAGATCATGACAAGCGCCATGCAAATTGTTGAATCAATTGCTTCTGCTTATTTAACGCATCTGCTAAATGAATAAAGGTAAATGTAAATGCAAATAAATTTGAATTGGATGTTGTAAATTGCTTAACACAGAAAAAGTTGAGTGTCATCCTCAGCATGTCAGAATTAAATTTCTCTAATTTTTTAATACGGGCTGGCAATTATAGAAAACATGGGACGCCTAAAGAAAAGTTTAAATCACTAATTTTTGTGGTTTTATTTTCTAGCAATAATCATTTTATACAATTTTCTTATTAAACAAAAATAAATGCACAGGAATAGAAATCACATAATAGAAAAAGAGGAAAGTTTAAAAAGACTTTTCATGTAAATTTTATGTTAGATAACAGTCGATCACTTGATCTGACACCAGAAAGCATGATATTTGTATGCATTATGCATATGTAACATGCAAGACTAGTCTGTGCATGTGACGTTTAGTACAAACACCATGTCTCATAAATTTTGCATTACAACAATAATGACTTCTTGTCCAGTAACCTGCAATGCACAACTCATGAAGGCAAATAAATAAATGCAACATTAAGATTCCTTACATAATACTTAAGTTATATAACAAATGTTTAAAGACATTTAATGATATCCATTCACAAATGCTTTATATATTACAATAATAGTTACCTATCTTTGGAATAAATTCACTTAAAAGTAAACATTCATTAACAAGGTAAACAAAGTACTTGCTATACAGGTCTATAAAAGCATATTCAGAAACTTGATAAGTGAGCTGAGGACAAACAAACGACTCACGGCTCCATAGCGAGTAGGAGAGTCTGGTGTTGATCTTGCGGTACAGCTGTTTGTTGATGGGCCACAGCACACAGGTACACAGCTGGATGAAGTTGATAATGAGGCCGCTCACCACGAACACAAAGCCAATCAAGAGCTGCAGGACGAACAGGCTCTTCAGCCACGCCACCACACCCATGACTGAGAGCCCTTCCACACACACACACACACACACACACTGCTGGAAGACAAGAGAGACAGAGGAGACGCCAAATTAAAAGCAGCCTACAGGCTGACTCATGCATATGATATTATGCTTTATTTACATTACACTAGAGGTCCTTCAAACCCATGGGGGATAGAAAGACCTCCTGTTACATAATGTATAAAACTGAGTGGGAGTGAGTACGATATTAATGTACTGACAACTTTGTTAAGATGCATGTATGGCAAAGCCATTGAAATAATTCTGCACAAAGCAAATTTTTTTGTTTTTTTTGTTTACATTTTTGCAAAAAAAAAAATTCTCACAGAAATGACATGGACTGATCAGACAACTATTACAAATGTATATACAATAGTGCTCTAATTTGATTGGACAAGAAGATTTTGCATATAACAGCATTAAAACTAGTGTTAAAAAAAAAACTAAAAAATATCACCAAAACAATAAACCTTCCTTACGAGCTACAGTATGAAACTTTATCTATCTATCTATCTATATATATGCGCACAAATATTATACTAGTTTATTAAAAATAAGCCAACTGTTAGCAAATTAGTGTTATTTACACAAGTAAATTTTAGTCATATTTGGAAGTTGCTAACTGCTAATTTAGGACACTGACAGAAATATTTCTGTTTTGTTAGTCCAACTGTCTGTTTGCGCTATTATAGACTTTCAAAGCAAAAATATGCAACCAAATTATTTAGTTGACAAAGCAAAAATAAACAACACTGGTCATTGTGTCAGTTATGCAAAATATATTAACATATAAACGCAATATCAAGCTTGAATTCACTATGAATATCTGCAAATAAGTGTTGATCGACATTAGTAGTAGCATTTGCATTATGTAATTAGTACCAGTCAATCCTGTTGAATTCGTGTATCATTCGATCATTCGTTTTTTGATTTAATATTGAAAGTAGAAAAATTAGAAAACGGCTCCTTTTTTGTTTTTTTCCAAAAAACGAAAAACTAAAATTCAGCTTAAATTTTCGTTTTTTGTTCATGGGTGGAAAAATGAATAAACAGCTTGAATATTCGATTTCTACACGTAGGCGGGAATTAAACGCCCCTTTCTGCTGATTGGTCAGCCGAAGATCAAACCGTGCCATCATCAGTTCTTCCGCAGTATCACGCAGCAGAATAATAGTCCTCTGCTGCTGCAGTTGTATGGATTCTTAAGCATTTATTGCAACTACATTTAATCTTTTTTCATCAAACAAACAGGCTAATGAATAGCTCGACACAACTCATACTGGGGCAGAGTCTAGACAGGGCTTTCTTCTGTGTAGATATAAATTCTATTCTTTGCATCAGCTGGGCATGGCAGGGTATGATAGGACAGCTGTCATAGCCTACCCTGCTCACCCAGTAAGTCGGTTTGTTTGTTAATTAATTAGTTTGTTTCAAAATAAATATTTTAAACACTAAGACAAAAAAGAAAGAATAATAAATTGGCTTGGGTATATATAGGCCTATGTTCATGCAAGAAGTGTCATTCTGACTGACAACCGGAGAACAACAGATATTAAACAGCCTGCTGTTAAGAGTTATATAATGTAGTCTTGTGCTTTATTAAAATTGATTATAATTGATATCTCAAAAGGATATGCAACTTGTGCGCGGCGTGAGCTGCTGCGCACTCGCACTGCAATGCAAGAGTTTCATAAAATATAATAACTTGCCATTTCAGTTTGTTTCTCACCAAACCCTCAGTATGCCTTCAGAATGCTTGGAATATACGCCACGAGATGTATAGGATTATTTTACGACAGATATGCATCCGCTTCAAAAAAAAAAAAAAAAAAAGTCACCATTCTCTGCCATTCAATTGGCAAGTGCTAGCAGGACATTTTTGTGTTAAGTAATAAGCCTTAAGAACAACAAAGGGGCGTTTAATTCCCGCCCACGTGTAGAAATCGAATATTCATTGAACGAAAAACGAAAATTTAAGCTGAATTCTTGTTTTTAGTTTTTTGGAAAAAAGCAAACAAAACTAAAAAGGAGCCGTTTTCTCATTTTTCTACTTTCAATATTAAATAAAAAAAACGAATGATCAAATGATACACTGATTCTGTTGCCCTCTGATGTTCATGTTTAATATGTTCCAACATATCATTTCAGTTATCAAACTTAATATCATGAAAGTTTAACTCACCACAGCGCGTTCGTCTCTACAACCCTCTTTTACACGGCCCTTCACTTAGTACCACCGACCTAAGAGAAAAAGAGACAGAGTGCATTTAGAGAATTCATGACGGCCCGAGCCATAAACACAACAGTCACCAGCAACACATTTAGTCCTGTATTTTAACTTTCACATCTTGCTCCAAGATACACAAATCCACTGTAAAGTAGTCACGAGTTCATGACCCTTAGGCACCAAAAATTCCACATGCACCAGAACTGCACACAGACATACAGCTGCACTACACACATGCCGTGCACAAACACACACCCTCTCACCCAGTTGGAGGAACTCCAAACACCTCCAATTTCCCTCTCTCTCTTGCATGCATTGACCGCCTCATTTTTGCAACCCCTTTCCTCCCAACTGCATATCTTGCTCCATTATTATATAGCAGCACCTCAACATGACTTGTCATGCACAAAAATCCTACTCTGAAAGACACAGTATCACACAAACACTCTCATTGGATCTGAAGGTCTCTCGTTTCAAATTGATTTTTGAAAGCTTACCAGACTTTAATCTCCCAGCACCACTTAATCCGATAACAAGACAACAACTGCAAGTGAAAGACTGGATTAAAACTCTAACAAAATGAGTGCCTCAGCAAATTTATTTGCCAAATAATCTTTTAAAGCACTGCTAAACCAAATGCAAAGAGAGGACTGAAGGCTCAGTGCTTCCTTGCAGTTTAATCTGATACTCAGGATTAGGCCTGTCACGATAACAACTTTTTGTTGTGCGATATATTGCCTCAGAAATAATTGCGATAAGTGATATTATTGTCATTTTAAAGACCATTTTATGCCACTGAATATATAATCATAATGTAAGAAGGCCTACACACTTCCGAATGACAACTAACTTTTAATTTTTAAGAATATTTAGATCATGGAAATTAAGTATCAAAATACTAGATATCTTAAAATACCTGAATAAATAGTAAATAAACATTTTCTAACAAAAAGTGAAAAGTAGAAAAAAAGAAAAAATGCACAAAGAACTTGTATGGAGATTTTTCCATCTACAGATTTTTCCCTGACCTTCTTTTCTCTGTAAATTAAGGGTGCACACTATTGCTGAAAAACACAATCACTACTTAGCAGTCAGATGTCCGTATGCACAAAGGCACAGATCCCTAAACGAGACCATTTCTGCAGATGAAACTTTTTTTGTAGAAGTATTTTTTAAAATTTTAACAAGCACCTCATGACTACACGTTATGTACGAGAAGCTGCAAAAAACACAGGTGCAAGTGGAATGTATAAAATATGGTGGCATTAATTTTGAAGTAAATATAATGGGCGATATATTGTCACCAAAAATTATTGAGGTCATGTACATATATTGCGCGATAAGTCAATATATTGATTATTGCGACAGGCCTACTCAGGATGAAGTTCCCAAACTACTCCAACTCGCCGTCTGGTAACCTGCAGGAGGCCCGTCTGACCCCATCAATACTATAATTTTCTCAGTTATTATGTGTCGGCTCTGATAACAAAGTTCAGTTCAGTCAACCATCCTACTACACTGATATCATTTAAACATTCGTTCTGATGCTTATTTATTTATAACCTACCTCTACCTTGATGCACATACTGCACGATGCATGATAAACCAAATTAACTGCAAATGCTTTCTCATTGTTCTCACCTACAGAAAAATGAAACTTGACCACACAAAATTCACACAGACTGACCTCAGTATCACGTCAACAAGTTTTGCACAGGCAAGCAACACTCACAATTTCTTAAGAAAATGTAATAATCCAGCTATTCTAACTACTGTAATACTTCTAAGCAATCAGCTAGTCAATGATTCCTGTGAATTAGCATTTATCATAAGAGCAAATGTGCCAAATGTGCTGCCTTTTGAAATAAACACAAAACAATCGTGTTACAGCATGGGGGCAGCTAGAAACCAGTGAGTAAAAGTTTAAACCGACAAAGTTTTGGTTCCTCTACAAACACATCAGCCAAGACAAACAGAACACAAACGGCACTAACCTTAGATGAAGATCCACAGGCAGTGTATAAGTTAACTGTGACTTTGGAGTGGACAGAGACAGAACGAAGGATGAAAAATGAGAGAGGGTGGGAAAGGAAAGAGTTGAACTCTGTCCTCCTATCCACCACTGCACAAACTGAAGTCAACTTTGGAACCTTACCAAAGTGTGTGTGTGTGTGTGTCTGAGATCAAGGGAATGGCAGAGTGCTCTGAATGCCAAAACTCCCTATGAAAATTCGTGTGCTGCACTAGGTGTGTGAGGGGGAGTGTGTCTGCACATTCTGAGGGATCACCTGATCAACTTGTTGGAGCAGAGTATTTTCTCAGTCATAAGAAATATGAGCAAAAGTAGACTTATACACTAGGCTTGCCGTGATAGACGGTGTTGACGGTAATACCACTGTTAAGCCGCAAAACAGGTGTCATCACTTGCCCACCGTGGCACCGACCCCCACCGTCGTTTTGATTTTTTGTAGTAGCCTAATAAAAATAATTTAGTTCAATAAAAGAACAGACACTACAATTAAAAACTGAACGCGGCTGCTCAATGCAGCATGCCAAACGACAGTCGCATCACAGATCAGATTTCATTTCTCCAGTGAGGAGAGTGAGTCGAGCTGACTGACAAGAAGAGTGAGGTGAGACAGACAAGACGATCGCGGATGATTTAGTTTCGAAACGAAATGCAAAAGTGCCTGTTTGGCAATATTCTGGATTTTGAAAAGCCTATTGAGTTTATCTAAGGTGATTTTGGAAGTTTAAAACATTTGTTTCTTATTTAATGTGATTTTTTACTTTATTTAAACTTTATTTTATTTGACATCAAGGTGTATGCCGTGCCTCCAAGCTTTCTTACTCGTTGTGCTAAGAAACATTCTATGTTTCTTATTTATTTGGTTTATATATATATATATATATAACACGTTTACTTGGGTATACAAAACTGGAAATAGGCCATTTAATCTTTATGTAAGTTATTTGTTATTTTATATTAGTCATAGCTTGCCCTATAGCATGGTGTATTTTTATTTGTTTTGTTAATAAAAGTTCTGTGTTTTATATATAGGCTAAAGTGAGTTTGACGTTGTATTTTGTTGTTGCATTCAAGCAAAAGATGCCGAACTGCCACTAATTCGAAAGTGAAAGTAAAATGTGCACGGCGCTTTTAAGCAATTTAAAAGCGAAGGAAAGCGAGGAAAAGAGGGAAAATTAAAACGAACAATTGCTTTACACTGAATTGCCGCTATTTGAAAGTGAAAGTAAAATGTGCACGCCACTTTTACAAGCTATTTAAAAGCAAAGCAAAGCAAAGCGAGAAAAAGAGGGAACGCCCCCGCCCCCGCCCCCGCGGTGATACCGGTATTGTCACACGTCGATTAACCGGTGGGAAAATTTCCTCACCGTCACAACCCTATGATACACTTCACACATTTCACTTTCTCCACCAAATCATATGTACTACAGACCCCTAGTGGTCCACCAATATATAGCCGATGTTGATATTTCAGCTCTTTTTAAATGATTGGCTTCTGCAGATAAGTTTTCCAGTTTGCCCGATGTGTTTGTGAGAGTGGGACTTTAATTGTGACAGCGCTGAGAATGTCAGCACCCGAGCACACAAAACTCCCATTCTCTGTCTTTATTAGTTTATTGCCTCTGTTTAAATTAATAAATTATACAGAACTGATAAACAGGGAAAGTAAACAGTGTACTAGGGATGTAACGATGCACCCTGAGCCAGTTGAAAACGTGATGATTCGAATCGGTTGAGATGTTAAATGAATTGTGATACAATTGGGGGTAGGAGTTCATATGAATGTATCTTTGAGGGGAACTGACTGTCTTTAGAAGAGTTTAGATGGCATTTTCTTTTCACCTTGCCTCTGTATAATGCATATTAAAGCAGTGTTCATAACCACAGTGCTGCTTTGTTCAAAGCGGCAACCAAGGAAACGTGATATTGCCGCTGTTCAATAAGCTCTACCTGCTGTCAGACAGTGAATTTGAGTTCTCATTCAGCTCATCTGCTGTTGTTGCTTTGTGCAGATTAGTTTTGTGCAACTATATTCAGGGGCGCCACTATGGTTTCTGAGCCCCTGAACATCATTGAATCTGGCCCCCGCCGTGGTAAAAAAAAAACAAACAAAATTTTTTTTTAAACAAATAAAAAAAGGCGTCCCGGGCCCCCTCTCCCTCGCCGGGCCCTTGGAATCGTCCAAACCTTCCCCTCCATTACGGTGCCCCTGAATATACTACATAAAACGTAAGTCAGAGCATTCTGTTTTTGCTTCAAATTTTGAAATTGTGCAACGTAATTTAGATTGAAAACTGTTAATTCTCGTGATTAAATGGAAAGAGCACAGGCAAAACCCGTTTATTTATATGAAGAGTAGGGTTGTGACGGTGAGGAAATTTTCCCACCGGTTAATCGACGTGTGACAACACCGATAATACCGGTATCACCGCGGGGGCGTGGCATTCCCCCTTTTCTTCACTTTCCTTCGCTTTTAAATAGCTTGTAAAAGCGGTATGCTTATTTTACTTTCACTTTCAAATAGCGGCAATTCGGAGTAAAGCAATTGTTTGTTTTTAGTTCGTTTGAATTTTCCCTCTTTTCCTCGCTTTCCTTCGCTTTTAAATAGCTTAAAAGCGCCGTTCGCATCTTACTTTCACTTTTGAATTAGCGGCAGTTCAGCATCAATTGCTTGAATGCAACAACAAAATACGTCAAACTCACTTTAGCGTGTATATATATAAACATATAACTTTTATTAACAAAACAATTAAAAATGCACCATGCTATAGGGCAAGCTATGCCTAATATAAAATAACAAATAACTTGCATAAAGTTTAATAGGTATACAAAACTGGAATTAAGTAAACATGTATAATATATAACCAAATAAATAAGAAACGTAGAACGTTTATTAGCAAAACGAATGTCAAAAAATAAATAAATGACAGTTTAAATAAAGTAAAAATCAGCAAACAATGTGGAACCAATTAAATAAGAAACGAATGTTTAAAAAAAAAAAAAACTTCCAAAATCAGCTTAGATAAACGGCAAAAGTCAACAGGCTTTTCAAAATCCAAAATATCGCCAAACAGGCGCTTTTGCATTTCGTTTCGAAACTAAATCATCCGCGAGCGTCTTGTCTGTCTCACCTCACTCTTCTTGTCAGTCAGCTCGACTCACTCTCCTCACTGGAGAAATTAAATCTGATCTGTGATGCGACTGTTGTTTGACATGCTGCATTGAGCAGCCACGTTCAGTTTTTAACAGTTTTTACAGTTTTTATTACTATAAAAAAATCAAAACGACGGTGGGGGTCGGTGACGCGGTGGGCAAGTGACGTAACCGGTGTTGCGGCTTAACACCGGTATCACAGTCAACCGCGGCAAGCCTACTGAAGAGATTTCTTTTCTTGCGTTTATTTGATTTGGGGTTTGTTTTAAAATTTCAATTTAGTTTTTATTTGACATAGCCTATTTCAATTTCACAAAGAAATGTGCAGCATTTTATTTTTCAATAATAAAAGGACACCTTTTCATTAATAATTTGTCAAATTACTAATAATGTGACATTGTGTCATATTGCCCACCCCTATTGCATCGTGAGTTGAGTGAATAGTTACATCCCTAGAGTGAACAAACATATGATATAATCTATATTTAGTAACAGAAAGGCAAACGCTTCACTACTTTTTCATCTACCGTCAGCAATCAGCAAATTCACATTTATATCATCAATTTGTCAAATTCAGCTGTGAGATCTTGTGTTCATTTGTAGCCTGCATAAAAATGAGTGTGCTTCACAGTCTGCATGACTGACAAACTTTGAATCCTTGATTTCAAGCTATACTGCACTAGGCTATATGTAGTCAGCCACTATATCTTATTTACAGTGTGCTGTATGTGAAATTAGCTCTAGCTTGTCTTTATTTGAAAAAAATGATTCCCAGCATGTTAACTGCCTTTTTTGTATTCATTCATATTTAATACTTTCTTGCGAAACTAATATAACTGACCGATTACAGAATCAAGAAACTGCCATCTAAATTAAATGAAGAGTTAATTTGTTGTATGCCCTTGTTGCCATTTTCATACAATGAAATTGAAGGAGGGGAAAGAAAAAAACAGATCACCATAAACATGGTCCATAAAACTTGTGCAACTTGTTCTTCTCAGTCATATGTCTTGAGTATTATGTTTGATCAAGTATGTGAATGTCCAGTTTCTCATACAGAGGTATCAAATAGGGTCACAAAGCTCAAAGGTGTATCAATTAAGATGATATTAATGCAATATGCCAAAAACACCCTAGATACATGTAAGTTTATATCTGTTTGACTTGTTACTCATTCACTTTTTGGTAGCATGACAACTACACCGATAGGGTGGGGGATTAGACATGGAGGGATCAACCAGCTTAAGGCCGGGACACACCAAGCCGACTTCAAAGAACTAGCGGCGACGAAAGCCGACGGTGTTGTCGCCTCACGTCGGACCAAAAAGCTGCGCTCGAATACACCGCACGGACTACAGCCGACGGCAAACTAACACGTGCGGTCGACCGTCGGCTTGGTGTGTCCCGGCCTTTAAGGCGTCAGTTTGCCTGATTCAACATGTTGAATCGGCATCGGGGCCGTCAGTGCGAGTGAGAGCTCTGATTGAATGTTCAGTTTAGCAAACGAGTCAGTGCCCGAGAATTAAAGCGAAAGTGACGAAAACAAGCGCGTAAAATGAAGGTGGTACAGACAGATGGCTGTTTAAATGTTACGTGATCTTTCCCAATCATTCTAATAGGCCTACGCAAATGTTTTCATAAAACATAAGCCGCTTAAAATGATTAAAGTTATCAACGTTAATGATATTCAAAATGGTAAGCAAGCGCTGCTTTGTTTACGTTTCGTATATATCTGCATTTCGGTTTCTCCTTTTGAAATGACGAATATATAGCCTACTATTGATAGCTGCTGATATAGATCGTTAATTCCTCTCACGCATGCGCAGAACGCACGTGTTAGTTTGCCGTCGGCTGTAGTCTGTGCAGTGTTCAAGTGCAGCTTTTTGGTCCGACGCTGCCGACGTGAGGCGACAACACCGTCGGCTTTCGTCGCCTCTAGTTCTTTGAAGTCGGCTTGGTGTGTCCCGGCCTTTAGGAGTTAACAGCTGTCTGGCCTGCACCATCAGACAGCCTGGGGCCATCTTTTTCCAAGATGGACCAAAATGTACCTCTAAAAAAGGTTAAACAAAAAGCTTCAACCTTGCAGGATGCAAAAGAAAACTGAGAAACCACAGTGTAACAATACCTAAAAAAAATACACAAAGGAGGAAGTTAGGTTGTGCTTCAGATGGTAACACTTCCACGGCAGATCAATTTTCAGATAGACTTCAGCTAACAATTTGGTATCAGCTTGTTTGACTCTCTGTGAAGCTTTAAAGCGAAGAATATACAGGCAAAAAAACTGAGACACTGTGTGACCTTTCAGTCGTTATAGAGACAACTGTGCAACAGGTGGTCACCATAGTGCCCTAAACACCCACAAACATGGCATGCATGCAAATAACTACAAATGAACAAATTAAAGTCTTACACCGTGTCCTAACTACACACGATGCAACGCCGTGACACGCGATAAAAGGTACCTTTTCCATGTTAATCAGAGGTTTTGTCCTAACTAGCCTTAGAAACGGTTTCTATTTCCGCGACGTTGCGGCTGGAACAACAACATACAAACTATATAACAGTGATATGCAGGTACTGATTATGTGCGCTATTCAATGTTAACGTGTCTAATGTGAGTTTGAATATCATTTTGTGTGACCGTTATAGCCATACTGAAAGCAACAATAGATAGTTTACCTCAGATCTCGAAAATAAATTAAATCAAAGATGTAGCCTACGTTAAAACTGTGAACTCACTGCGAACCAACAAGTGTATTCCATGACAAAGATGGTATCAGTCACGCAGTATGTACATTTAATGATGTTAAAAAGTTTTAATATTTATGAATTAAATTATAAACTTATCCATTTCGTTGCGAGTGCAGTGCGCTTCCACAGAGAGCCCGCCCACACACGCTTCTGATTGGCTGTGATATTTGATTGATTCGGTCACATTGCATCTGGTGTGGACACCCAAATTGTAGTTAGGACACGGTGTTAGGCATGGAGTATCTCATTTGACCTTTGCCTGTGCCAAATCTAATAATCTTTACATAAGCAGCAGGTGGCCCAATCAATCTACTGTTGGACTTTAGCCAGACTCACCAGTAGGCGTAGTAGGCCACTGCCATGACCACTAACGCCCCACAGATCCCTGTGAAGATCATCACAGCCCCCTGGTTCAGCATCTTTGCTTCTGGTGATGGGCCTTCAAAGCAGAACAATTATGAAATTAGCCTCCTCTGGTTTCGTTCAAAAATGGACAGGCGGTTCTGTTCTTGACAAGCTTGGAGACAGATGAAATTTAAATGCTGAAAGTGCTCCTGAAAATCCTTGGCAAAGAAAGCCTTTTAAAAAATTGAACGAGGTACCAGGTCTCGCTTTGGCTACAGCGACATGCTAATGCTAATCCCACAGAAGGAGAGCACTTTTATGATGATGTAAGCAGAAACAAAACTAGATCCCATAAAGGCGGCGGCACTCAAAGCCAGTGGACGTAAAAAAGGACAGTCTTCCAATGCTGAACTCCAACTGGATGCTGTTACCAACTGCTAACCCAAATTCCAAGCACAGTTCGAGTTGGCGAATCCTTAACAAGATGCAGCAGTCCAACAGCACAATGTGGACATAGCGGCAACCTTCCGTTAAGCCAGAGAGAGCAGTTCTCAGCATCCTGTGTTCCCTCCTCTTCTCTAATCTCCTCTGGATTAGATTACCGATGATTAGCACTCTGGAGCAGCACCCTGGATAAGTCACATCAAATTTACATCAACTTCAAGCGATTGAGCTAAGTGGGACGGGACAGTGGTGACTTCCTTTAGCCACCAGGAGGAGCCTTTAGGGTCAAGCCCACTCTCTAGCATTTAAATGATCTTGTACAAGGAGGCATGATATGTTTCGGTAGTGATTCTGGAGACTTGTGGGTGCTGTAGCATGCTTGACAAGCTTCTACATGGCCTTGCTGTAGATCTGTGAACTTGTTCTTGGCATTCAAGGTCGACAAGGCCCTAAGTCCAGTTTAGATGAGGTGGTGACAGAGAAGATGAGGCAGGTTGTGGCCCAAAGCCATGAATGCACAACTGCAATACTGGCATAAACGGAGAACACAATGTGCCACAGGCCTACATCACACAACAGCGCTTCCTTTTTTTATTTGTTCTGCTTCTGTTGCTCACTTCATCTCATTATTTCTTCTAGCTTCTTTTCATCTTTCATCGTTTGTTTGTCATAAGTTTGTGTGATGAGACATTTTGTTGCTGTACTGTATCAATGGGAAAACCCTTGCAGAGAGTACATGTATTCTTGAATGTGCAATGTCCTGTGTACAGCTGTGCTAATGTGCCTTCTTCAACACTTTGTAAAGCCATCTCCCGATAAGGTGTGTAGCATAAAACCTATACATTATGAGCCATATGAGACCAAAGCAGCTTACTGGACTGCAGCTGAGGTCAATGTCTAAATCTATAATCTAATCAGGATCTTACACATACAAACAAACAAACACTTCTAAGTATTCTTTAAACAGCCGTTTAAACAAACTAAGATATTATCATTACAAATTTCATCCATCAAAAATGTTCCTTCATCTCTGCATTTCCCCAAACAAAGATAAATAATCTTCTGTACATACATTTATATCCTTAGTTTGAAAAGCATTTTTTTTCTTTGCAAGAGCTTCCCCTTTGATACGGACTCTAATAAATACATAATGGAAAATGTCAGTTATCTTTGCTACTGTGTCTCAGAAAATTCTACACACTTCCAAGTCTCATCAAAAATACATACAAAAAATTAACATTAACAACAGACAGGGCTTGTGCTTTGGTTAAGTCTCCAGCTTTGACAGACTTAATGAACATCATTACAAGGGACTCAGTGGTCAATAATTCTCAGTGGGCCAGTGCTCAGTGTGTTTTCAGTCCTAGTACACCAGGGGTCTCACACATAGGCTAAACCTTGTACAAGTACAAAAACATATGCCAAATAGCACTGTGACAAGTGGGGACGGGGCAGAGAGCCGTGGGAACGGAGCGAGGCCGGTGGAGTAATTGATAATGAGCGACACCTGCACCACTCACCGGTCTCGAGTCCCACGGAGGAGCTCCGGAAGGATAAAAGGGAGGAGTGACGACAGTGAAAGACGAGAGAGGACCAGACCTGGAGTTTATTTCGTGTTTTGGTTTCGTTTGTGCGCGACAATCGTCCGCGAGGGGCTGTCACACTATTTTGTGTTTGTTTATTTTATTAAAGTTTCTTTGAATGTTCGCCGGTTCCCACCTCCTTCTTCCCATGACTACGAACTGTGTTGCAAGCACCTACACATTAGCATTAATAAACAGACAAACAAACCTGTTACCTGACCATGCATATGCTCACTTTGGCAACCAATTTTTCAGCTACAGAGCCTAACTACTGAACTGAAATGAATGCTGCAAAAAGGGCTTTCAATAATTTCCAAATCCATGCTGGAAGGTGACATTTAATTTCTAGATAAGTTTCCATCCTACCACCAGAATACAGTGTCTGCATTCTTTTGGAAGTCATGCTTTGATTGGCTTAAAAAGTGAAATACAAAAACAAAAACACAAACCTGTGCACTTAACATCTGAATATTAATGAATGAATTACAAATCCCATAATGCACTGTGAACAACAATAGTCAGTCGTGATGATAAACTAAAAAAAAAAAAAAAAAAGTAAAAAAAATCACATGGATGGACTTGCACCTTCTACAAAAGCATACATTCAACAGCCTTGTAGCATCTGGACCAATCAGACACGCAATTATTTGTTATACTTAATAGGGCTGTGCGATATGACGATATGTATCGGATGGACGCAATAAAAAGTCTATCGTTTCATATTATGCTCTATCGTTTATTTCATGGTGTCGCAAAATACATTGTTTACGGTAATACTTTTTCATCATTTGGATGACTGCGATCTTTACACGCCACAATGGGGTGTGAAGCGGAGACAGAACCAGGTGGAGAACGACCAGCCAGGACAAAACGAGGAGCTCGTTCCTAAACGAGGGACTACATCTGTAGCATGGACACACGTTTTTAAGCACTGCGGTTTTAAAACAACCGATTTTTAAGCCTTTGAAACACAAACAACAGAGCAATATGCGTGCGCCATCTCTGCTTCTGTGTGAGAGGAGTGCACATTTTTTTGCCGCCTTATTGGCTTTGAATGATTACATAAACACTTATATGCATCAGAATCCCCGTCTTTCCAAGTATCCTCATAAACATAGTGATTTAGGTCTTAAAGGGGTCATATGATGCGATTAAAATTTTTCCTTTCTCTTTGGAGTGTTACAAGCTCTTGGTGCATAAATAAGATCTGTAAAGTTGCAAAGACTAAAGTCTCAAATCCAAAGAGATATTCTTTATAAAAGTTAAGAGTCAACCACGCTTACCTAAAACGGCTCGTTCTAACACGCCCCACATACCTACGTCATGATGTGTGAAGATTTGCATAATGCCTCCCAAATGTTCACGCAAAGAACGAAGGCGTAACTTCGATTCTCGCTGTAGTATTGTTGTTACCTTGTGTTTCGTTGTGAATGCGAAACTACTTTGTTTGGCCTTCCAAAAGAGGACGATATCTGCTTCGTCATGCCTAGAGCTGATCCGTGCTGGTCGCTGAGGAAATACATCAACTTCGCTGTGGATCGCCAGATCGGCTTTCACTGTGGACGAAGTGGAGTCCAGCCCGGGGTCGCCACATGTGGTTGCCGCAAGCCCTCCCGCCACCACTCACTCTAGCCGCCGGCCTCCACTCACTCTAGCCCGCCGTGTGTGACTCTGTGTTTCGTTGTGAAAGCGAAACTACTTTGTTTGGCCTTCCAAAAGAGGACACGACTAGAAATCAGTGGTTAAGTTGTATTTACAACACTGTTCCAGAACACTTCAACCCAAATATTCCGATGTGTGCAGCGCATTTTATGGAGGACTGTTTCCTGATCCTGGGAGAGTAGACTACAATGCCGGCTGTTCTGACTCCCAGACTGTAAGTACGTTTTTTATATTTAAAGAATTTGAGCAGTGTAGAGTAGCGTTTGTAGTTTGTCATTTCTCCGATCACAAATACAGACATGGTTTTATGTTTACGCGGCGCAATGCAATGCAATGCATAAAAAGACAGTATACAGTGGGGAAAAAAAGTATTTAGTCAGCCACCAGTTGTGCAAGTTCTCCCACTTAAAAAGATGAGAGAGGCCTGTAATTTTCATCATAGGTATACCTCAACTATGAGAGACAAAATGAGAAAAAAAATCCAGAAAATCACATTGTAGGATTTTTAAAGAATTTATTTGCAAATTATGGTGGAAAATAAGTATTTGGTCAATAACAAAATTTAATCTCAATACTTTGTTATATACCCTTTGGTGGCAATGACAGAGGTCAAACGTTTGCTGTAAGTCTTCACAAGGTTTTCACACACTGTTGCTGGTATTTTGGCCCATTCCTCCATGCAGATCTCATATAGAGCAGTAATGTTTTGGGGATGTCGCTGGGCAACACGGATTTTCAACTCCCGCCAAAGATTTTCTATGGGGTTGAGATCTGGAGACTGGCTAGGCCACTCCAGGACCTTGAAATGCTTCTTACGAAGCCACTCCTTCGTTGCCCGGGCGGTGTGTTTGGGATCATTGTCATGCTGAAAGACCCAGCCACATTTCATCTTCAATGCCCTTGCTGATGGAAGGAGGTTTTCACTCAAAATCTCACGATACATGGCCCCATTCATTCTTTCGTTTACACGGATCAGTCGTCCTGGTCCCTTTGCAGAAAAACAGCCCCAAAGCATGATATTTCCACCCCCATGCTTCACAGTAGGTATGGTGTTCTTTGGATGCAACTCAGCATTCTTTCTCCTCCAAACACGACAAGTTGAGTTTTTACCAAAAAGTTCTATTTTGGTTTCATCTGACCATATGACATTCTCCCAATCCTCTTCTGGATCATCCAAATGCTCTCCAGCAAACTTCAGACGGGCCTGGACATGTACTGGCTTAAGCAGGGGGACACATCTGGCACTGCAGGATTTGAGTCCCTGGCAGCGCAGTGTGTTACTGATGTAGCCTTTGTTACTTTGGTCCCAGCTCTCTGCAGGTCATTCACTAGGTCCCCCCGTGTGGTTCTGGGATTTTTGCTCACAGTTCTTGTGATCATTTTGACCCCACAGGGTGAGATCTTGCGTGGAGCCCCAGATCAAGGGAGATTATCAGTGGTCTTGTATGTCTTCCATTTTCTAATAAGTGCTCCCACAGTTGATTTCTTCACACCAAGCTGCTAACCTATTGCAGATTCAGTCTTCCCAGCCTGGTGCAAGTCTACAATTTTGTTTCTGGTGTCCTTTGACAGCTCTTTGGTCTTGGCCATGGTGGAGTTTGGAGTGTGACTGTTTGAGGTTGTGGACAGGTGTCTTTTATACTGACAACGAATTCAAACAGATGCCATTAATACAGGTAACCAGTGGAGGACAGAGGAGCCTCTTAAAGAAGAAGTTACAGGTCTGTGAGAGCCAGAAATCTTGCTTGTTTGTAGGTGACCAAATACTTATTTTACCGAGGAATTTACCAATAAATTCTTTAAAAATCCTACAATGTGATTTTCTAGACTTTTTTTCTCATTTTGTCTCTCATAGTTAAGGTATACCTATGATGAAAAT